GCATGCGCGCATGCTGCGAGCCCCGAAACGGCCTTGCGCGATCTCCCAGCAGCGGTCCGTCATGGCTTCAAAGATAAAGTCGGACAGCTCGGCATTCCAGTGCAGACAGCACTGCACCACGTAATTCCCGAATTGATCCAAGAGCAAGGGAGGAACGTATGGCCGCAAATTTTGTGCGATGATCGACACCTGAGCTGGATTGACTGAGGTCTCAATGATCTTTTGCGCCGCCCAAGTGCCATTCTTGTGGATGCCAATCATGGCGAGATGCGGCGCAATCCTTTCGAGCATGACGTGCTTGATGCGGTCGGAACAGCGCTCGAATAGCTTCTGCACGACCGTATTGCCGATGTAGTCGTGCGCCAGATCGACTATAGCGTCCATGTGGTCGGCTGCGACTGCATCCACTTGCTCCACAGTGCACGACGCGCTCTCGATGTGCTTTCTGAGTTCCCTGAGACGACTCGTGTCAAAGCGCCTCGACGCTGATTGCTCCGACACTAGTGGGATCGTGGTATAGTAGGAAGCAGGAGATCGCGCGTTAGCCACACTTGCCACATCTGCCTCTACACTGGCCGGGTCGTCGGCACTGAGCTCGCGCATAAGCAGCTGCAGATCTGAAGTAGCTGGACGGGGTTGCATATCGGCAGGAAGAGGGACGCCCCCCTTGTCGCTGCTCGGAACGATGCTGCTAGAGGCTGACTTGCCAGCAAGTGAAGCGCCGCGTCCGTGCGAGGACACACTTGCAAGTCCACTTCCACCTTGTGAGCTCCCGTGTGCAAGATGAACAGCCTGGCTTTGTCGGTGCTGCTTGGCAAGCAGGTCGGCAACGAGGTTGCTGCGATAATTTTCGATTCCGCCGGACGCAAGCTGCTGCTCAGCACTGATGGGAGCCGATGCCGCGCCATTGAGTCCAGAGAGCGCGTTGACCGCTGCCGCGAATCCCGCGTTGCTAGGATCGCTCGGTAAATCGTCCGCTGCTCGCGTTGGCACTTTGGCGAAACCTATCCGCATAGAACCAGTCTCGCTGCCAAGCACATCACGGCCGTTGAGCATCTTGCGCGCTAGGACCGCGTCGTCCACTCGCTCGAAATTGACTGGAAGGGGCGCGGCTGTGGTCAGCGAGGTGAGTCCAGAAAGTGCTATCCACTGCGATCGCAACTCACTGAAGCCACAATTCTTGTGACTCAGCACTCGAACGCTCTCAATGGGACCAAAAGGCTGAAAGATCGACATGAGCGTATTGTTGGTTGTGTTCGCTGGAATGCTGCCGACCCAAAGCGCTCGCGTAGGCCCTATTTCACCGGGTGTACCTGGTGCCGGGTCTCCAAGGCCTGGTGTCTCGACCCGAGGACTGTTGAGACCACGAGCTTGCAGGCCAGGTGTAGAATACCCACTGGACATCGGAGGAGCAGATGGCACCGAGTCAATTTTGCCGTATCCGATGCGAATTGCTCCATTTGGACCTGTCCCCTTGCCCACTCTGCCACCTTGGCGCTGCATAATGTCGTCTTTGGCTCGGATCGCATCAGCTGCCTCAACGAAGTTGACGAAGCCGCACTCCTAGAGACGCCAGGTCAGGTCCGGAAATTAGCACACGTGAGTGAAGGACGGATGAAGGCCGGCTTAGGGGCTCAACGAATGAGCTCTGAGATGTCCGACTCCGAACTTACCTTTTCGGGAAGAAGACGCAGGCTCTCGATAGCGCCGTACGGGGCAAACATTTGCATCAACTCCTGCCCAGTAGTTCCAGCACTGAGCTGGCCAATCCACAGGCTACGACCTGGTATTTGAGGGCTTGACCTATGCTCGGCACCCGGTGTCACTGGCGTTTGAAGCCCTGATTCCTTTCGCGCCAGCGTCTGCGAAGGGCGAGTCAAAAAGCTCGGCGTGTCGGCCGGTGGCGTGGAGACCGAGACGTGAGGAAATCCTTCCATTGGCGCATGTGCGTAGTTGCCAATGCCGAGGGCTGATAATGCTTCCCGACGCTCTTGCGCTCCTGCATGGCCGGTGCTGTTGTTCGTGTCCAGAAATTGGCTCGCTGCTGCCAGTCTGAGCAGTTCTTGCTCGACTCTGTGGCGGCCGCCTGGTCCTCCAAGCGCAGCGACGGTACCTGCACGTAGCCTGCCTCCGACCAGAGCGGCGTGCGATTGCTGATTTTGAGGAGGGAGCCCTGCTGGCAAACCTGCCGCTGCAGCCGCTGCCGCAAATGCGGCTGGGTCAATGCCATGCTCGCGGGCAAAGGCTGCATAGACTTCTTCGTCGCCGTACGCAAGCGGACTGACGTCGTCGAAGCCGTGCTCTGGTGTGCTCCTCAAGACAAAACCGGGAGAGTTGCCAGCGTTGCGAGGTGCAGTCGCAAGCGTGCTGGCCCGATTTCTTGCGTTGACGAAATGGCTCGAGGGGCGTCGTTCATCTGCAGAGTGATCAGCGACACTGGAGATGCTGTTTCGCGCATCAGCTAGACCGAGATAGTCGAGCGTCTGTACGTTTTCCGAGCCGTCTAGACTTTCTGCGATGCTAGGTCTTGCTCCAGGCGGAAGT